TGAAGTGCAAGCGAGAGCGCGGAACGAGCGACAAAGAGGCACAATCGGCCTCCGCGTTCGGCAGCGTTCGACATCTGTCTCTCTCCTACTTGAGTGAGCGATGCGTCAGTGGACAGATGCTATACAATAATACATTTCCATTTACCTCCTTCTCTATATCCATACAAAATATCTATCAAACAAATAAAATTAAAATTTTCTTTTGAAATATGAAACCATTCCATCAGTATTTTCTTATGACGTTGTCACGTTCAGCTGTCGTCAGTAAACCGACTTTACAGACAACCGATTTTTTCTGAATAAAAGATACCCTATGCCATTTTGTGTACCCCCGACAATAAGTGTACAGAATATCGTGATAGGTTTTACTCGCGGCTTCTCTCGCGTTGATGTTCTAAATTGTGTCAAATATCATCGACGACTAGATAAAATTAATCTTTATATCCTACGGGAACAGTATCCTTTTTCTGGAGAAAAAGTACCCCATGTCCTTTTCTGTACCCTTGACAATGTGTGTAAAAAATTTCATGACGTTGGGCTGTGTAAATAACAAAGTATTTATTCTAACTAACTAATTCATATATTTTAATCTGCAGCGTGCTTCCGCATTCAAATTTCTTGAGAACCTTCAATCAATATTCTAATTTCGATTTAAAATAAATACCTTACAATAAATATTGTTACTATGTAGAACAAAGCCTTTGCAGAAATTAGTACAAGGATTCGGCTGACGTAGTTTTGTTCATTAAAATAAAATTTTATTCGTAGATAAACATGAAGCAAGTATGTATCATGTTTAAAAAAATTTTAATTAGTATTAACGCCGTTTAATTCAACGAACATCGAGTAACTGTAATAATGGTATACGAATCGAAATTGTAGGCCAATGTAACATGAGAGAGATATTTTACAACTTAACTTGCTTAAGTGCTAGAAATACAATAATGTTGGGAGAATTTGTTAAAACAAGCGACCTTAATATTAGGTAAAGAACTTCGCACTTTTCACTGGTCAATTGTCGATTTTACATGACTACATTAAAGGGTTAATATAGATAAGTCAGGACTAGTAGGGATAGCGCAGGGTCGAGTCGCCTTCAATAAAAAGAAGTCACTTCTATGCTCGCAAACGGTTGATTTAGAAATTCGAAAAAGATTGTTAAAGGTGTATGTTTGGAGCACGGCCTGGTGCGAAACATGGACAGTGGGCGCGGCGGAAAAGAAAAGGTTAGAAGCTTTCGAAATGTAGTGTTACAGGCGAATAATGAGGATATTGTGAATAGAGAAGGTTAGAAAAATGAAGTGGTATTAGAAAGAATAGGAGAACAGAGGAATCACGGAAGTCAAATAGGCGAGACAGGTCGGTAGGACACCTTCTCAGGTATGAAAGATTTATTACGAACATATTAGAAGCAGAAACAGCAGTTAAGAGGAGTATAGGTAAAGATTAGATTACAGGAAATGCGAAGATTAGTTGAAGATTGAAAGAGTGGAGGGGCGTGTTCAACCAGTCTTAGGACTGACGACCTTATGATGATGATGTGACATATAGGTGAAAAGAGCTTGTTATGAAGACTTCAAAAGTATATTCTAAAATTTTTTGTTTGCGATATTCTTAGGCGAAAATCCTGCCTGAGATGTCGCGGTTGCAACGTTTAAATTTCATTTCAAAGAGACCGACAATGCCTTGGTATTTGCAATGCTCGGATGCAAATACGAGCATCACTATTACTATCAGCAGCTCTAACATTATAGTTTTAGTAACACAATAGGATCACGAAGTTTCGATAAAACATTTGTACGAAGCAATAATAAATACCACTAGTGTGGTTTCAGTGGCGAGTGCAGGTAACAATACAATGGGCGAAGAACTACTGCAGTTTCAATATTTCTTGTGGTACCGATTCTTGCAGGTGTTTTGCTATCATTTTATGTATTATTACTTATTTCTTTACTCGTGTGATGCATACACTAACGACGATTTGAGAGTCGAGCATGTAGATAGGGATTTTATATTCATCATCTTTTGAAAAGTACGACGCGATATATATAGGAAAATTCGTACGAATACCTTCTGCCATCTTTTCATATAAAGAACAAGCTGTGTGGTGTCGTGGGGCGCCTACAAAATGCGAATTCCACTTTAGAGTAATGTTTTTTTATAGTCCTTTAATTTTTAAAGGAAGTTTTCTTGGCTTTCGCGCAATTTTTACTTATTATTAAAGTCAATGGAGTCAGACAAGGATGCACTTTCTGAAATGAAAAAATTACTGATTTTCGGTATCTAGGAAGTCAGATAAGTCAGGATAGAAGGACTTGTAGAGATATAAAACAAAGCGAGTCATTTCTATTCTCTCGAACGATTAATTTAGAATGTCGGAAGATTGTTAAAGGTGTATGTTTGGAGCGCGGCCCTGTACGAGTAGAAGCGTTCGAAATATGGTGTTACCGTACCGTAGAATGATGAGGATACCGTGGATAGAGAACGTTAGAAACGAAGAGGTATTAGAAAGAATAGGAGAACAGAGGACTCTATGGAAGTCAATAAAAAATTCGCAAGAGGTTGGTAGGACACCTTCCCAGGCATGAAGGTGTAGTCATAGGCATGCTAAAGGCAGAAACTAAAGTTAAGAAGAATAGAGGTAGACCTAGATTAGATTACTGTTCACAATAGGTTATGGATGTAGGATGTTCTAGTTTTAGGGAAATGCGAAGATTAGCTCAGGATAGGAAAGAGTGAAGGTGCGTGTCCAATTAATCTTAGGACTGACGACCTGATGATGATGATAATGACGATGTTGATGATGTAATCTCATAATATCCGGGTTTATTATAAACGATAGGAATCACATACAAAAAAGATCATATATTTCTGCGTGGAACTTTAAAATTTCATCGCAACACCTGCCATATACCAACTCCCATAAAACAATAGATGTAAAAACAATTTGCTATTGAATTGACGGCAATTACCGATGAAAGTCAACGGCTTTCGGAAACGGTGAAATATGTTTCGCGAAAATGTTTTTAACAAAAATTTTTTTACGCATGTAAGTATAGACTTACCGGCCCATATTCAGCGCAAATGTCAATAGTCGAGACGAAGTTGCAAACATCGTCTACATTCCAGCTGGAAATGTCTTCCAGGAGTCGTGGACTCTCGGACCAGTCTCTTTTTGCGCTCATCACAATGCTTCCATTGTTGGGAAGACCGCTTGTGGTCAACGGCGTTTTCGTTCTCGGCCTTTTGGGAACTGGGGCTCCGGCAGACAGATCCAAAGGCGACGACGTTTCTTGCCTTTTCGCGCTCTTCAGTAAACCTTTATTAAGAAATTACGTCTCCTTTTGATTCGTGTTTGGCAGAATTAAATGTGCGGAGTCTCAAAATATTTTTCTTACCTTGTAGTTCTGCTTCCTTGGCCGTCCTGACCATGGCGAGCAGAGTTTGGGTGGTCGACATGTCTATCAGTGGGGGGAACATGGTCGTTGAGGAAAAGGGGTTTAATATCGACGAAAAATCGTTCTTTTTGTTTTGTTCGTCTTTGCCGGCAGCGGCGGAATTGAGATTTTGTATTAAATTGGGAAAACAGGACGATTTAAATCTAGGATCGATGGGCGGAGGAAATCCGTTCCTTGCTGTACTGAAATATCTGAAATGACGAAATAGATAGAGATTTTATATGGAAGATACATCAAATGGATATTGTAATTACGGAGAAGTACTCCAGATTGTGTGATAAGAAGGAAGACTCAATGTGGGAAGCAGCAATAGCAAGAAGAGGTTGGGGATTGAGGAGGCTAGAAGAGAGGAACATCAGGAAGGAAATAGGACGGAAGAAGGTATTGGAAATAAAGACGAAAAATAGGAAGAGCTTTGAGGAGATTAAAACCAACCTGGAGCAGGTGAGGAAAAGATCCAGGAAAATGATAAGGGGAGAAGATCTAAGAAAACTAAAGGAGTCAGTATATATGATGGGGCTGAGGGAAATCTTGAAGGGGCTGACAAGGGGATTGGGCGTCGACGGTATTTAGAAGAAGGTAAGGAAATAATGAGTGTAGGGGATTGTAAATATTAGAAGAAGGGAGAAGACACACTGTGTAGGATATGTGACAAGGAGTTAGAATGTTCTAAACATGTGTTAGTAGGATGTGAGGACAGTACAACTTGGAAGGAATGCTTAGAATTGTTGAATGAGGATTGTCCAACCAAAGGAAAAGTTTTCGATTCTAACACTGGCGATGTATTTTTTACTTACTCGTTTTGGTTAGCGTTATTATATTTGGCGGCCAAACTTCGCATAAAATCGCTATAATTTCGACCCCCCATGGGTTGATCTGAGGCGGGTGGTGTATCAGGATGACTGGCGGACGAGGGAGTGACGCTTCGCGATCGCGAAGTGTCCGGGGTGCCGGGGCTCAGTCTTTCGTTTTTAACGTGATTGTTGTTATTGTTATTATTATTATTATTGTTGTTGTTGTTATTGCTCAACGGCGAGGTACTCGTTTGGAGGGTAAGGTCGGTCGAGGAGGCGGTCGTGGCGGTGGTGACAACCGCACTGCGGTCGAAACGTCGTCGCCTGCCCCCCATCGCCGGCTTGAACGATGAAATCGGGGGGCTGTTTTCCAATGGATCCGAAGACGGGGTATCGCCTGAAACAAAAATAGGAAAAGGTTTTATTGCTGTTTATTTTTGGTATTTTGGTAACTGTTTTATAAGGGGGCACTCAAGTATTACGCCACTTTAGACTATTACAAGAAAACTGATACAACCCCCCACCTAAGAGGAATATTTTATACCTAATTGTCCTCCTGCAGAAAATAATGTTCTTAAATATATAATTAATACTCTTCCGCTGTTTGCGAATAATAAAGGAGAATTAGTAAGGATGCATCACCCTTGGAATTACTTGACACTCAGACGGGAGAGGGGGTAAAAGATCGGTCCGATATAGTCTAAATGAGCTGAGGATCGAACAGAGCGTAAGGATAGAGGAGGTAGAGGTAGTAATTAACCTTAAAACAGTCAAGGTTAGGTTGGGTTATCTTACTTTCTTTCCAACATTGGAGTTTTCACTTCCAGCCTCACCAATTCCACCTCTCCTCACCACTAAACAATTCGTTAGTGCCGTTACTGCCACCTTCACGCGCTCTGGTGATGTCCTGATTCGGATCTAAACGCCTTCGTCGGCTAGAGTTCCTTTCTAACGTTTCGGTAACACGAGGTTCTTCAATCTCCGATATAGACTACAACCAGCATCAAAGATGGAAGAAGTTCTAAAGACTCTAGACTCGAACCAGGACAGTACCAGTTCAAAATGTGAACAATTATCATTTTTACATTATGATGATATCGTGGATAGAGAAGGTTAGAAATGAAGAGGTATTAGAAAGGATAGGAGAACAGAGGACTCTGTGGAAGTCAATGAGAATTAGACGAGATAGGTTGGTAGGAAACCTTCTCAGGCATAAAGGTCTAGTTAGAGACATATTAGAGACAGAAACGGAAGTTAGGAGGGGTAGAGGTAGACCTAGATTAGATTATTGTTCGCAAATAGTTAAGGATGTGGGTTGGTCTAGTTTTAGACCGAGCGGCATGGCCTAGAAGTTTAGACCATTGTCTAGCATTCGGGAGGACGCCGGTTCGATTCCGGGTCCGTCTGCTTTGGTCCAAGTTTTTCTGTGGTTTCCTTGGATCACCTAGGCAAATGCTGATGCAGTAATATTCCACAGATAATCTTTCATTCTCTTCTGTCTTCATCTCGTCCGCCTCATCTTTCTCACCCGAACCACCTCCCACTTATTCCCACGATTCCTGCCCTACCTTCCGCCGTAGACTGGAGGGACTGCCCGCCCACCAGCATTACTGGCTGATGGGAATGAAACACCCAAAAGTTTTTTTTTTTCTAGTTTTAGGGAAATGCGAAGATTAGCTTAAGACAGGAAAGAGTAGAGGTACGTGTCCAACCAGTCTTAGTACTGAAGATGATGATAACATGTTAGAGGTAGTGTTCGAAACGTTTGATTTTGTCATCAATCGCTGCTGTCGTCTTCAACGTAGGAAATAGACATTGCCGGACCAAATCCCTCTTTGTGAAAGTGACGTACAAATCCGGATTATTTTTCGCGACTCAGTTGATTATTTTTGACGACAGTTCGAGTGGCATTTCTTCGGCTTTGTGTTTTGCAGCGTTCGAAAAGATTTTTATGTTTAATTTTCTCACGTCGATTCCGTGGTTGAGCTCATTTTTATGGGACAAACACTCCTCGCCTGGCGTACAAAGAAGCGCGGAACATCTGCGAATTGAGCACCGCCAAACCGCGAGACCGCTGATCAAAGCGTGAGAGAAGTAGAATTGGTTATTATGGAAAATCAATACTTTCTGGTTGCGATCGCTCACGCATTTGAAAGCACTGTTACTACTGTCCATGTTGCGAAAGTATTTCCGAAAATCGATGAGTTCAGGAAAACGCTTCTGATCGCGTTGGTCGCTGCAGTTGACACTTAAGAATCACGGATACAATTCAAAATTCGAGGTGCAGATACGAGACCTTTTACGCGGGCCTTTTATGCCAATGTCATAAAGCAGTTTATCTACTGCGATGATCGTGTACGAAATGCACACATTGCTTTATACGAGGGGAAATCAAATTTAAACCAGAATGAAATCCTAGTGGAGGACTATACGAGAGGATTGAGGGCGTCATTACCCACCGAGCGGAATGTCCTAGAGGTTTAGACCGTGGCTTAGCATTCCGGATGATGCCGATTTGATTCCGAGTCCGCCTGCCTTGGTTCAAGTTTTTCTGTGGTTTCCTTGGATCACTTAAGCAAATGTTGGGCCAGTAATATTCCATAGATAATCTTTCATTCTCTTCTGTCTTCATTTCGTCAGTCTCAACTTTCTCACCCGAACCACCACCCACCCATTCCCACGATTCCTGAAAGCAGGCTGAAGAAGGCCTTCCACTCTACCTTCCGGCGTAGTTCGGAGGGACTGCCCACTCACCAGCATTACTGGCTTTCCTTCCCTTTCGCACTAACATCGTTCTAGTCACTGCCACGATATCTAACGAAGGAGTAGATCTTTCCGTTTCTCCATGGATAAATCCCGAGAAAAATTGGGGAAAACTTAAAGCCTGACTTGGGAATAAGTCCCTGAGAAGACCCACCTATGGAAATAACACTTGTTGGAGGCAGTGGCAAAAGAAGACCTATTGTTTCTGTTGATCAATGGGCACATGAACTCTGTCACGTGTTGAAAATCAACACATAAGGAATAAATGTTTCGCACCCGTTTTCGAGCATAGAAGTAGCTTCTTTTTATTTAAGGCGACTCCACCTTGCGTTATCCTTTGCTTTATATCCCTACTACTCTTTCAATCCTTTCTTATCTGACTTCCTAGATACCTAACATCAGCCACTTCTTCTAATCTTTATATTCGCTCATTCCCTACTTTTTTTTCCCTTGCATACCAGTATTTTTGTTATACTTTTATTTATTTTCATACAATACTGTTTTGTCTCTAACTTTTCCTTGCTATTATATTATCTGCAAATCTAAGCATACTGATCTTTGGTCCTGTATATCTATCCCTACAGTTGTACTGTCTTTAATGATGTTGATCGCATCTTCGATGTATAGATTAAAAAATAGCAGTGACAGTAAGCATCCCTGTTTGACTCCCTTCCTAATATTTACTTCTCTACGTTGTTGCTCCAAATTGCAACATTAAAATTGTTAATTTCTTAATTAAATCGCCTTAGGATTAATTTAAATGTAGATAGCAAAAAAACAATCATGATAAAGACAAGAATAGTAATAAGTTTATAATACTAAGGACATTACACAATTCCTTTAATATTAATAACGATAATTTATAAATATAAATCATTTTGTAAAATGTATTGAAATCAAAGTATTTGGTATAAAGACGGTAGGCATAACGAATAAGGTATGAAACGTATGAACAGCACCTTAACCTTTGATGGTTTTCGTGACAATTGTACGATTACAATTCAAAGCACGGTTTTCCTAGTCTGAAGACGACATTATCAAACAACGATGACTGAATGAATAAAAAGAGGAAAAGGGCAGGATAGACGTAAGGCGACAAAAGGACTAAAAGTGCCAGGCTATATGTCTCGAATCGACAATGAAAACAATTCCTGATCAAATCACAATTCAACGGCGTACAGCAACAATAATAAAACCGATATGTACGTGAAGCCACGTATCATGCAGTCGTCGAAAACATTGTCTGGTCGTTATTTTGACCGTTGCATTCATTTTTATAAGTATATGAATATACATTGGAAATAAATAACTAACAGAACTCGTCGATTATATCTAGAAAGTCAGGAAAAGATCATTAACATTCAATATTAAAATCACGGCTCTGTATAGGTGCGTAATGTGGACGATAGCCAGAGCCGGACCTTGTCGTCCCACAAGTGACCCCCCATTCCAATTTCCACTTTTAATTTTTTATGAATGAAGAAAAGTTAGAAGAATATAGCTTCTTTGATTCAATAATGCAAATTTGTCCATCGATATGAGTCATCTAAGGTTAGTTATCAGAAGAATGAATGGATAGAACCAAGCGGCATGGCCTAGAGGTTTAGTTCATTGTTTAGCATTCGGAAGGACGCCAGGTTCGATTCCGGGTCCGTCTGCCTTGGTCCAAGTTTTACTATAGTTTCTTTAGATCAGCAAATGCTGGTGCAGTAATATTCCACAGATAATCTTTCATTCTCTTCTGTTTTCATTTCGCCCTTTTCATCTTTCCCACCCGAACCATGATTCCTGAAAGGACGCTGAGGCCTTCCGCTCTACCTTCCGGCGTAGTCTGGAGGGACTGCTCGCCCACCAGCATTACTGGCGGAATTGTAGGAATTGACTATGCAATCACTAGAAGCGATCAAGAAATGAGGTATAATCAAATCAGTGGTGATTACCTTTGAGGACCCATGGCAGAAACACTAGCCAAGGGATCAAGGGATGCTCCATTGAAACAATACTCAGAGATACCTTCTCTATTCATTTCTGCGATAAACTCATATGTTTTATCTCGAAGGGCTTAAGCGACGTGGCCTACTGAACGCTGGTTCGATTCCTGGTTAGGTTAGGTTAGAACGTGGATATGGAATCAAGGAATGCCCCATTGAAACAATTCTCAGAGATACTCTCTTTCTTGAGCAACTCATATGATCCATCTCGAAGAACTTTAGCGACATGACCTAAAGGTTTAGACTCCTAGAAAAACACCGGTTCGGCTCCTGGATGGTCCACCCTGGTCCAAGTTTTCCTGTGACTTTCTTGATTCACTTAGGCAAATACTGAGGCAGTAATATTCCACGAATAATCCTTCACTCTCATCTACATTAATTTCGTTTATCTCATCTTTCTCATTCCATTTCCACGAATCCCAAAAGGAGACTGATTGCCCACCTATCACCATTGGTAGCTAATAGGAATGAAGCATCCAATGTTTTTACAAATGAACCTGATGAAAATTATTTACTACCTGTTCGGGATAATCTTTGATGGAAGAGGTAATCAGGAGTGTTTTACATTACTTATTTTTTAATTGTTTATTGGCAATAATAATTGTATTTGTTATAAAAGATTGAAAACGCTTTCACGCGGATGAAAATGACGACCTGTTCAAAATTCGTTCCTTAACACGAAGTGTAAGGTTGAAATTTTACCATTTTCGTAAAAATGCCGAAGAGATATCCGGTGATAAACGACTGCCTTCTAGAAATCGTTTTTACCGGAACTTGTCGAAAATTGACCGTAGTTATAACAACAGAAAAGGCACTAGGGACAGGGGTCGGTCATCCGTACCCCGTACCTGCCATAAACATTAAAACAACTTAACAACGAACAAGGTCGAGACGAGGGTTAGTTGTAAGTTACAACAGGCAGTTGAAAAAGATCGGAGTCACAGGTAGTTGTAATAACAAAAGTAACGAAACACAGCAAGGAAGAGAAGAAAAAGAAGAGAGAGAGTCTTCGACAGTTTTCAATATATGCATAGGTAGCGTATATATCGGCACAAAGGTAGCACCTTACCTGTCAGGGGACAGAATGACAGGTCCCCTAATAAGCGACAGGTAGACGACCTCTACAGGCCACAGGCAAGGACATACATGACTTCTGAGATTTTACGACCACCGTTGAAGTTCCTTTTACAGCTTAATCTTTAAATACACACACACTTAGATATATACATCTGTAAATCTCTTCTAAATCGGTTTATGGTTAGTACCTACTGGGGAAGAAAATACAAAAGTAATCCACTTCGAACCCCTTGTAGTCTTCCTTGAATTGTACGGATTTATAGGTAAGGCAAAAAGTTCACCGAACATAGAAATTCCACATTTCTTTTCTAATTTTTGTGTGGACCTGTCTGTAAATATATCCCCCTCTTCCCTAAAAGCTACCCCAACCTAATCGAACTTTCAAAACCTTTTAAACAAAGTGTAGCACCCCTCAAATATTTTAAACTACACTTATTGGTATTATTTTAAGTATTTTTTAATGGATAATGTCCTTTGATGATCGCATTTTGCACTCGCCATTAGCGTATAGACGAATTGATTCAACGAAATCCGTTCTACATAATTAAAATTTAATCATTTTTGGTATAATTAACTAATAACGGTACATTTCTTGTCTATAATAAGTAGATATACTTATTAATTAATGACAAAATATCAAGGACATAAAAAAAAGAATTGTTGATTTTGATGATTCATTTTTTTCTGAAACCTTATCTACTAAATCCCCATACGAAACTATCAAGATGTCAGGCTGTGAATCTGTAGAAAGAAAAGTTACGACAAAAGTTCCCTTTGGAGAAAAACCTAGGAAAAATGCCCCCACGGAAGAAAATTATTTCCAAAAGAAACAAATCAAGTTAATAATTCCATTAACTTTATAGATTTAAGCATCAAAGATATATTGTCTTCCATAAATAATCCCAAACTACTATCATAATTCTTACTAAATTCTTTCACCCTTTATCACACAAACACAAACTAACCTTCCATTTCCAGAAAATTACGGCAGGGAAATATGCAGATAATATTTCTTTATCTATTGGCAAATGATAGTTCCAATTTTAAGAATCTGTTGAAGGTCTCGTTTAAAATAATTTCCCAGAAATTTTCCTCTATGAGCCACTGATACCTTGGTCTCAGGAATTGTCCAAAAGGATTTTCCAACGAATATCAGTCGGGTATGTGTGCAGATAATACGACAAGGATTTTAATTTTGAAATCATATTCAAACACACACAATAAAATTCGAGTGTAAGACTAGGATACGAATCCAAACAAACGACTTTATGTGTAGACACATATTTTCGTTGATTATTACTGATAATTCCTAAATACTTTCAATTGAAACCACTGTTATCAATTGATCAGTTCAGATCGAATTCAACTTATTCCCTTATCTGCTACTTGCAGCAAATTTTTGCTTAATTCGAGGTTTTTAAGTGTGTGTGGTTTTGCAAATTAAATAAAAGTTGATTTATTTATCAAAAATGAAATCATGATATCAAAAAAATATCAACTTTCCAATGAAATTCATCAATTAAATTTTGCATGCTTGGACGTTATACATATAGATACCTACATAAAAATAGTTTAGATATAATAATAAAACAATTATGAAAGTAGATTCTTGGAACTTATTTCAGTTTTTGACCTTAGAAGAGGTGGCCGTTTTAACAAATTTCTGCATTAGGTAATTGATATTTAAATTGGTGATAGCAAACAATTTAATATTGTGATTTTGTTAATTTTATTGGTTTTTAATATCTTTTTATAATTCATTCATTGCGGCAAGAATTCTACATGTTATTTAAACGAAAAGTAAACGAATTGATTACCAAAAATGTTAGATACTTAAAATTTAATATATCATGCATATACCCTGCTTATTAATAATCATACAGGAACGTAGAAGTCCTCAACTCCTTTGTAATTAAAGATGCTTTTCTTTTATTCATAATTATAGGGCGTTTTTATTTAGTGATGCAAAAATATCTACTAAGTACTTTGTCCAAATCGAAATCATTTGCTATATATACGTATCTGTCGATGAACATGATCGCTTATTTAGAAACTTAGCCAAGAGAATGTAATTTCCTGGTCGAAGGGTTGATTAAACTATTTACATTGTCATTTTAGCAAAACTCAAGGTGATAATAGTTGTGCTTAAAAGCTCGAACCATTGGTTATAGCTGTTACTAATTTTTTCCGATAAATTTGAATTAAAAGTACGATTTATAATACAAAACTCCCACTTGAAATGGAGAAGTTCGATATGATAATGGTAGACCGACGAATTGGATTCAAACGTATAATTGATACACTGCCTGGTCTTTTTATAAGAACGAGTTCGTCACATTGTTCATGTTCATGTCGATTTTGGTATGATTGAATGATTTCTACGAAATGAATTCCAAAATACATGAGCATAGAACAGAAGAAAGCACTTCTTAAAACTTCTTGCTCAATCTGTACCCAATTTGAATAAGATCCAGAGTTTTTGAACAGGGTTATCGCCATGGGGTGAAACCTGGGTATATTTTTACGACCATGAGACAAAACAGCAGTCCATGGAATGGAAACACTTTAGTTTTCCAAGACTTAAAAGACTTCAGGTTCAAAAATGGACGGGATAGGTACAGTGTCATGTATATTTATTATCTGGATGGAGAAGTAGAAAACAACAACGGGAGAATATTATTGACAAAATAACACAAAAATATTTTCGAAAAAATGATCGCATAAGGCTTTTTGTTCCTGCAGGACAATGCACTGAATAAAATTCTGGTAGACCATCATCTGTATTTGCCTAATTTGGCTTCATTTGACCACTATCTATTTTTCAAACTAAAAAATAATTTGAAAGGGCAGAAGTTTTTCCAAAAAAGAAGTTGTGGAACTTTGTTTGTTTGAATTGTTTTTAAAGGTACTAGAGGACCGCTGTCTAAATGTATTAAGATAACGGGAGGATTATGTTAAGTAATATAAAAGTATTATTTAATAATTTTAAGCGTTTCTGTATTAGGGTAACAATCTATCAAGACCTCCACGTAATAGGACATCCATATTCTTTATTCTTAGGGTATAAGATAGATCGTTTTTAATGAAAAGTAGTTATTTTGTGAAAAACAAAGACTTAAATGTATAATATGCTAATTATTGTTAGATAATTAATAATTTCAGACGCACCTGAATAACACCACGCTGGCCAAACAACCGGGCTTTCAGTGTCCATTTCTCTCATATTTTTCACCAATTTTCCGAAGATAGAAAAGCGCGTCACTCAATTTTATAAATTAGAGAGAGAGTCATGTTACGCACAAATTAATTGTCAGTAGTTTCTGTTCAAAAAACAAAAATATAATTCACCATTCACAGGTACATGCTAACAAAAATGTCGTTTAATTGTAAACAAACATGCAGGATTTCATGTGACATGGCTCTTACACTTATTTGCACATTACAACGAGGGACGTCATCACTGTTATTGCACACATATAAAAATCACCGGTTAAAGTTTACACGGGCGTCGCGCCCTTCGTTACCGTTTAATGGACATATCTTTTATTTATCGATACGTAAATCGATCCCTCGACACATACACACGTACGTGCCGCATGTATCGACCGACACAACTGAAAATTTAATTGGTATAATGTGATAAAGCAATCACGTAATTGCTATTCGACGCAGGTAGAAATATGTACTAGGAATGAGTTTTGTGTTTTGTACCATTTCGTTGTCACCGGTCGGTTGTTATCGCTTACATTTAGTATGCGTTGTGTATTCAGACGTCGCGTCTGCCCGATATGATAAGAGATAAAGTTCGATGGCGCGGCGTCCGTTTTTATGCAATGCAAATGATAACGCCGATAACAATTAAAATTACAAACGAATCGAAGGGGTAGAAGTGTGCACTCGCGAGCGCCCGCGTCGTACCTTTGGTGGCAGCGAAACAAACAACAACAACAACAGCAACAACTGCGAGTCGGCAGCGTGACTGTTACTGTAGCTGCCGCGGCAGTACAGGTGCACTTACCATCATCATCATCATCATACAGGTGAGATAGAAGGCGGCCATGGACGGCCTCGGAGGTGGCGCATATATCCGCCGCCACCGTTGCCAATCCGATGAAGAGTGTGCCCCGTATACTAGTTTGTGTACAATGAGCGGCGAAAATTGCAGCTCCATGACTCGATCGATCGAGAAACAATAATAACACGCCAATTAGCTGCAACGGGTGCAGCTCTCTAGCCCTTCTAAATTCGCACTTTAAAAAATCACTTTTGGGTGCTCCATTCCCACCAGCTAGTGATGCTGGTGGGAGGGTAGGTCCACCTTATTACGTTGGAAGAGAGAGAGCCAAAAGCCTTCTTCAGTTTCCTTTTGGGAATGTAATGTCCCATCGAAATTGGTTCGGCTATTTCACAGATTATCCTTAACAGGCAGAAAAGAATATCTGTAGGAACTTTAAAACTTTTGGCTACTAATGCTAGTGAGTGGTAAAACAATAATATCACACCTATTAGCTGCAACGGATGCAGCTCTCTAGCCCTTCTAAATTCGCACTTTAAAAAATCACTTTTGGGTGCTCCATTCCCACCAGCTAGTGATGCTGGTAGGCGGGTAGGTCTTGCGGATTACGTTAGAGTAGAGATCCAAAGCCCTTCTTCAGCTTCCTTTTGGAAATGTAAAGTCCCATCGAAATTGGTTCAGCCATTTCACAGATTATTCTTAACAGGCAGAATAGAATATCTGTAGGAACTTTAAAACTTTTGGCTACTAATGGTAGTGAGCGGAAAGTCCTTATAGAACATGACGGAGGGTCGAGCAGATGAGTTCCCTCAGTCTCCTTTTAGGAATCATGGGAATGAGTTGATGATACTTGGGATGGACAAGATGAAACCGACAATACGAAGACAGAAGCCAGTGGAAGATTATCTGTGGGGAATTTTACTTCTCCAGAGCATTTGCCTAAGTAATCCAAGGAAACCAGAGAAGAACTTGGACCAGAGAAGATGGACCCGGAATTGAGCTGATGTTCTTATGAATACTAAGCAATGGTCTAAAGCTCGGTATTTATTTGTGAAACAACGGGTAGTATAATAGAAGAGAGGTGGGCATGGGTGTATGGAATTTGTCCTTTGTGAGTTGCAGTGAGACGGATTTGGCCCAACAAGATGGAGTCACAAGCTGCAGGGCACGCGTGAAATTAAAAATTTGTTAGGTTATTCAGCGTAGAGTTGACATTAATTGGTCACCACGATGGTCCAACCTGACCCCACCTGCAGCTTTGATACACCACCCGCCCCCGGCAAAAAGGGCCGCAACCAAAGGCGAATAATCATGCAGCTATCTCGCCAACATCGAAGCTTTTGATACATTTCTTCAGTAGATATTTATTATAAAAGAAAGGAAATGAAGATCGACTGGATCTGGATTCTGGAAGAAAAAATTTGCGGCAGATTCGCTTATTTTTAAGACAGTGAACGTTGGATTAGATCAGCCTCTCGTGTCACATGTGTCTTTTTGCCTTATTTGATGTGACTCTGCGGGCATCAAATATTTCAAAATAGCATATCGCCTCATCAAATAGCGTATCAGTATCACACATCTGCATTCTGACAGATTATAACATCTATCAAGGAAACGGAAGTTGTGGAAGATGTAGTGTATAGGAAGTTGATGAAAGTATCATAAATACAGAGAAGATTTGAATTGAGGAAGTATTGGAAAAGTAGGAGAACACAGGGATAAGGATATCAATAAAGAAAAGAAGAACCAGGATTATACGCTATCTTTTGAAACATGTGGAAAGCCTACATTGGTTTACTGTGCGAAATTGGTTAAATTCTAGCTTTCAGAAGATTGGCTCATAATCGGAAGGTGCGTGTCCAACCAGTTTTTGGATTCATGACCCCATGATGATGATATACCTTGATACCTCGCTCCTCTGTTTTCTCTTTCAATTTGGTCTTCTATCTGAAAAGTTTGCTGACTCCTGTACCATAATAATGACTACAACATCCACTGTAAGGACTTCTAGCGCGACTGATAATAGTCCAACAGTCTGTAACTGAGACTGACGCCTTCATCATTACATGTATCTTGAATGTGTGACCTTTGACCAAACATTCAGAATAGATTTGTGTTAATATAAGGTTAGTTTTAGCTAAAGAATTTTGCTCCTAGGATGACCACTAGGGGGTTAATTTTATTGATTTCGGCATAAAAAGTGAAATATAGTGTACTGAGCATGGAAACTAGATATATTTCAATGAGGAAGTAAATTACTTCGGGTTCCTGTGAGATGTCTTATTCAGGCTTATTCTCCAGATTTTGTGGGAAATCATTTTCATTCTCGGATATTTTAAACTGACACGCATGACGTAGTTATTTGATGGGAGGCAGGATGTGTCTAAAACAGACCTATGCGCAGGTCCTACTTGGACATTTTCGGATCCATTACATATTTTTGCAGCACACTGTATATACATGATATATCGCTCTTGCTCGCGCGCTATTACGCGCTCGCGACCGCCAGGGTATCTCTCTCTCTCTTTCTTTGTCTCTCCCTTCACTTCGTTCGGCTCACGCGCGCGTGTGACGATCTGACGATACGTCGCCCACTACGATCGCGTAGGTAGGACGGTCAAGTCGTCAGATATTGCTGGACTCCCCTGCGATGCCCTGGCCACACAGCCGCTTGACCATTACGTAGCCGATTGTTTTTTTAATTAGGAATGGTCATTTTTGTAAGTATAACTCTAATTGGGGAGAGAGATAGAGGCTAGCCGGGGATTATGGGCCTGGAAGGTGTGGAACGGAGATGGTCAATGAAATTAAAAAATATTTTTTTGTAATTGAAGCCTAAACATTACTGTCCCATTACATGGAGTAGGAACAAGTCAAAAATTGATTAATCTTGCATTACGTAATAAAATCAAATAACTCAAAAGTATCAAAAATGTTGAAAAGTTATAAAACTATAGAGAATGACATCGTTGATTGAGAGAAGTATGCATGGGAAACTTCTATTTTTAAATTTATTTTGAGTTTTACAGCTACTCAACTTTTTTTGGATAAAAACAAGATGTTTAGTAGAATAAAATTGAAAAACAAAAAAGTGATTAATTATCCACTGGATGATTAGGAACTCTTTAAAATAGTACTGGCTGTAAAACACTTTAATTAATGTCAATTTTAATGCGTTACGCTTTGAACTCTTTATTTGTTCATAAAAGGGGTCAGATTGTGAAAACATAATCTACATTTAGGAACTCTGATACATACGTTAGTTAGTTTGTAAGTTCCTCTTTTCAAAAACAATTGTAGAATTCTTAATAAAACAATAAATAAAGAAAGCAAATAGCTACGAGACGATCGATTTTTTAAAAACTGGTTTTATAAAACCTTTTGTGTGTGTAATGAACCAATAAAAGTTGTTTCGTTATTAAATAAATTAATTTGTTGAACTTACATTTTAAAATGTTACCTGGAACGCAAAGCGGTTCCTCACTCTTCATGATGACAACGGACGCAGCAGAAGATGCCCCCCGAAGAACAATTTTCGATCGCTTTTATTAAAAGCCACACGGACAGGTCACACAATAAAAGTTTAACAACAAGTCGGAAAACAATCGTACGGAATCACTTTCGAAAAACTACGTTCGGGCCTTTTTTTTTAACACAGAAATGTAAATTACATACAAGGACAGACTTTGGTCGCAATGTAGAAAGAGTCACACTGATGAGGCAGAAGGCTGGAGGCGGTTGCCGGCACTGTCGGGTCATAGGTCATGGACGGATCATGACCTGCGACCTTACAATATGTACATAATACCCTCCATGACTCTAATGTAGCAACAATAGTGTAGGATTGTGACTTTTCAAAAAAAGGTCATCTCGTTATTAAAATATTTTACTATAACTATAATTCCTAGCCGTGTTTCTCTTCTATTTTTATATAAATAAATATTCGAACACATAAAGAAATAAATTAATTTTAATTAAACTAAAATAATACGTACAATATTGCTTCATCACACTGTCACAGCATCAGATTTTTGTTTAAAATATTACGGATTTAAAATGAACACTCATTTCTACTATAGTTTAATTAAACGCACAAAACGCTTTTAAATGTTTTTATTATGAAATGGTAAAGGGGAGTGTAGTAAGTAAATAGAATAATATCGTAGAGACTCATCCCAGTACTCCACAAACTTCTTTCCACATTAAAAGTGGACAAAACATGTGTCCGATTCTCAAAAAGATTTTGTGGTGTACATGGACGATCCTCTTTGATACTACATGGTTTCAGTTACGTTTTGTTTAAATTCTCTGCATCCCACGACAGGGCCAAGATTGACCCAGGATTTTCCATTTTTGGACCAAGCATGGCAAATGCCTGTCTTTAGAATTTCACCGCCGGCGTACATTCATGTCGTACTTCAGTATTTGGAACTTGGTTCAAATTTGGTACAGTATCTATTGTTGCTCAATATTGGACAATCGTTAATGTACCAAAACTTGACACTTAAAAATTGGCCAAACATTGGTCCAGTATTGACAAATCTACGTATATTTCGTTGTCCAGCAGGTACTGGACCAAACTTGGCGAAATATGACACTAAAACTCCAATACCGGTAAACCAATGATTGGTTTTACCACTAATGACCCAGGTTTAGACCTGTCGTCAACTCCGGTATTTCGTACTTGGGATATGCTTCGATCAGTATCCAGATTACTATATTCACTAGAATAGGGATGGCGAACCTTTAAGTACCGTCATGCCATTTTTATAAAGAAAAGTTTAAGCAGGTCATAGACGTGCCATCAAATAATTTTATCTCTGTGATTATTAGGAAAATAATGATAATAAATAATATCAACTCAAAATTCTACAAGAAAATAGGAACATTTTGCAATGTTTAAATTATACGTGTAATTTAAATTAAAGTAAAATTAGTGTGACTTCTGTTTTTGCAGATTAGATGACAAATAACTTATGTTAGGGTTGTAAGATGTTTATTTTAGCAGAATGCACGCTGAACTGGAGTCATCTACCAAACGGTTTGTAACTGCGAGTTTTGATGTTATTAATCTCTGAAAATAATGACTCGCAGGCATAGGTTGATGAAAACATTATTAAAATATCATATGCCAGCTTTGTCAAATAATAATAAATGTGTTTGTTATCGCATTCCATGTATCCAAAATTTTGTTATTAGCATTTTCACTTCTATTACCCGTCAATCTTTCTGTTTCAATTATTTCTAACTCTTTCCTTGTTCCAACAACTTTTTGAATCATATTGAACTAGACTGGAAATCAATCAGCTGCATTTCAGATTCTTCAATTTATTTTATCGAATGTCACGTAAGGGTATATAATAAACTTTCGTATTAGTATTTCCGATAATTCTCTGAAGTGAGAAAATCTTGCTGAAAATTCCTTGATTTAAGAATCAATGACAGAAACATTAGTGACGTGACCAAAATATTGTGTCGCGTGCCACTAATGGCACGCGTGCCATTGGTTCGCCATCCCTGCACTAGAACATTAAAACCTTTGAGTGTTTTACTTCCACCTGGAGCTGGTGGATAGTCAGTTACATGGTTAAAAATGAAGATGGTTACAAATCTGAGTAAAGGGCTGGGATCATGGTTCTTTGGAACCTAATTTAGCCCATGTCTGACCCTCGACGATATTGCACATACAAATGAGAATGGAAATTCTTGTAGGTTCCATTTAATTTATCTCCTAATTTGTCCAATATATACTTATTTTTATTCGTATACAGTCAAAAAAAGTAATTTGAATTTTCAGTTAGGTCTTAGAAATGTGAAGGAATTCTTCATGTTTTGGAAACATTTTTTCTTGAGTGGATAAACAGTTCTGCTTCGTGATGGTTATATAAATACCACGTTTTAGTACTTGAATCCAATAAAATATCTTCATCTAATAAAGAAACGCGTTATAATTCGATGATCCATGTTAATCCCTGGTTATTCAGCAGGGATGCCTTGTTTTGGTCAAAGTGGTGGTTCTAGGTGAGAGCACCCATTATGTCCAAAACTCCGCGCACTGGTACAGCACAATATTTTCTGAATTTTTAAATATAAATAATAAATCAACAGGAAGTAGATCTTGGACATTCTTTTTGTATTTGAAGGCTGCAAGGATTTTTAGATTAATTATGCGTTTCAACATTTGTAATAAGTTTGAACTTTTGTCTATAATGCTAGTTTACGATATACCTAAAGAAAAGGTCTTGACACAATAACACATTGTGTTATCTAAATATCAAATTCGTGTTAAGGTGAATCTTCTTTTGTATTAGACGTAGGCAAAGGCGGATCTATCTAATAGTAAGGTGACGCAAACGGTGCACTCTGCATTTCAATATAAATTCGTATGATATAACGTGAAATGTATGTTGACGAAAACGTGTTTTTGAGAAATCGAAAAGGATAATTTATAATTTCTGCTCCTTTTTAACCAATTTTCAAATGTGGACTTTAAAATTTTCGTTGTTTGCAGACGTTATTCAATTCAGTTCGAATTTGTGTGATATAAATGTATGGCAGGGTGTTGTAAAGTGACATATGTTTTGGCCAAAAGAAGGTTTTGCGGAATTGAATGAAATTGTACATAATTTGAAGTCCTTTTTGACTAATTTTCAACATCGGAATCGCGAAATTTCGCTCTTTAGAGTACTTAAAGTCAATTCAAATTTATAAGGTATAAAAGTTCGGCAAGGTGTTGTAAAGTGACATATATTTTGACTACAAGATGGTTTTGCGAAATTGAATTAAATGGTTCATAATTTGAAGTCCTTTTTAACTAATTTTGAACATTCTAATCGCGAAATTTTGCTCTTTAGAATAGATAAAGTCAATTTAAATTTGTAAAGTGACATATATCTTGACCAAAAGATGGTTTTGAGGAATTGAATGAAGTGGTTCATAATTTGAAGTCATTTTTAACTAATTGTCAACTTAGGAATCGCGAAATTGCGCTCTTTTGAGTAGTTAAAGCCAATTCAAATTTATATGGTATAAAAGTGCGGCAGGGTGTTGTAAGGTGACGTATGTTTTGATCAATAGATGGTTTTGCGAATTCAAAAGAAAATACACATAATTTCAGCCCCTTTTTAGCAAATTTCCAAGTTCGGACAAGCGAAACTAGAAACGGTCGACTGACTTAATATTCATTCTTACAACTAAAGATTTTGCTATCAGTAAAAGTTTTTGAAACTTATTATTGACAAACTTCATATTTTATAATTCAGTAAATACCCTGTACAGTAAATATAAATACTTTTGTTACAGTTACAGAAGCTATGGTACCTTGTACTTACCACTCATATTGTTCCTTTACACTTTGACCTTACTTTTCATTCCCCATCAGTTTTTCACGCTGATAGCAAATGCAACCCAGACAAAGTTATAAGCAAAAGTTGCACTTTAAATCCCGGCCTGTTTACATTCTTGCAAAACTAGATTATAAGAATTTTATCTGGCATTTACACCCACTTCACTATTTAGTTAAGTATTCAAATTTGATCGTTAGCATCGGCTATATTTCTACTTTTTATTTATTTGGATTGGATCGGACAGACAATTAGTAATGAGAAAATAATCGTTTAAAAAACGTCTTTAGTGGATGTAATGACAAAGGCCTTACATACACTTTCAAAATTTGTTTTTTTTAAACTTTTATTGACGATAAAAAAAGCGCGTCGATAAGATTTTTGTTTTAGTTACATCCCGCACGATTGTAGTCTTCTTTTACTTTAATATAATATGTAATTAATAAAGCGATGGATGGAATAGATGCCGGTAAAAGTTGATAAAGTTAAGTTGTATTTATGTACACGGAAAACGGAAACATTTAAATTGTAAACCGACGTTATTATACCACTGGTCAAACCGAGCTGCTACGTATACATATATATATATGTTGGCTACTGTGTAGGCTATATAGCGTACAATTATTATTTCTATTACGGTGAGAGGTTAAAGTAATGACCTGGGTCGACCTCAGGATCTAAAAATGTTGCGTTTAAAATAACTGACACCTTTGAACAAAAATAAAACTTACTACAATCTATATCCACATAATACATTATGCTGTATAGATTATACTAATCATAAATGAAGGCACAATACGATTTGCTATCTTACCCGATAATATTCTAGTCGTTTTAATTAGTTTAATTTAATATCAATTACTAAATGAGTCATATCTAATTAATTATCGCAATTCGATCGTAAATCGCGCCAAAACAAATAAAATCTATAGCTACCAAGAGAAAAACGAAATTTAAACTTTTATTTTAAAGATTTTGTTTGTTTAGCAATATCTGTTTATCTCTAAAAAAACTTATTGCGTTGTTTTGGTTTGTTTGTAGGTAATTATTGGCTTCATACGTACGCCTCCTAAGGGAAGTCCCTAGGACTGACTACGAAGAGTCTGTAATTTCCCTTGTTATCTCAAAGATGCGGGATTTGGTAAAGAAGAGTATCAATTGCGTGTGCTGAGTCCTTATGGAACAAAGGACATGGACAGGGAAGAAATGAGGTAATTAAAAATTAATGTACAATAAGTTTTTTTACAAAAAAGATGCGTATTTTTTGTTTATTCGGTTCTTTTACAAATAAAATTGTAGGTACATTTTTTCGCTCAGATTTTGTTTAATAGAGAAAATTAGTTTTGGATAACAAAAACATTAGAAATCCTTTAACTGAGAGCATTTTTATCTCACAACGTCAAATACATATTTTTTTTAACAAGTTTGCAAAGAGTTTTTAAATGTTTGGTTTTAATCCTTAACTAATTAATCTTTAATTAACTCTCACTTGTTTTATATTTTAATATATAGATTCACTTAATTAAATGTAGATGTTAATCAAAAGTACTTTTTTCGATATGTATTAAGGAAATTTATTTATTTTTGTATTGGCTACGAAAAGGGAGGCTTTTTTATTTTGTTTTTATTTTTTTAGAAATACACTAATTCTTTCTGTTACAAGGATGTAAATAGGGATAAAAAAATTGTAAAATTTCGGAAAAAAGACACTCAAAATAAGACGAGCTTTCTGCCAAAATAATAATAATTTATTTAGATCCAAAGCCCTTCTTCAGC